CGCACTGGCTGGTTCAACTCAGCCATTCTGGCTCAAACTCTTCTCTCAGCTATCTTCAGATCCTATTCTGTCAACTTTTTTTTTTGACATAGTCTTATCCCATGTTTTTTTTTTTTAATTTTTAAATAATTTTATACATTCACTTGTATTCCAGCTGTAGCCCCCCCCCTTTCCCTCCCAACCCTCCTCTCCCTCCCTCATCTCCTCCCTGCCCCCTTCTGAGTCCACTGAGAGGGGGTGTCTTCCTCTCCTTCTGTCTGGCCCTAGCTTATCAGGTATCTTCAGGATGGTTACAATGTCCTTATCTGTGGCCTAGCAAGGCTGCTCCTCCCTCAGCGGGGAGGGGAAGCTCATGAGTTCATGTCCGAAACAATTCTTGTCCTCCTTACTAGGGAACCCACTTGGATACTGAGCTACTATGGGATATGTCTGCTCAGGAGTTGTAGGTTATATCCATGCATGGTCCTTGGTTGGATAAACAGTCTCATAGAAGACCCCTGTGCTCAGATATATTTAGACCTTGTGGGGCTCCCTGTCCCCTCTAGGATATACTAATTCCTCCTTCCTTCATATGATTTCCTACACTCTGCAGAAGGCTTGGTTATGGATCTCAGCCTCTGCTTTTATACACTGCTAGGTAGAGTCTTTCAGGTGCCTTCTGTGGTAGGCTACTAGCCTGTTACTTGTTTACTCCTATTTCCAATGTCCATCCCCTTTGTCTTTCTAGATGAGGATGATCTTCTTACCCCTGGACCTCTTTCTTGTTTATCTTCTTTAGGTGTACATATTTTAGTATGTCTATCCTATCTTATAGGTCTATATAAGTGAGTGTATACCATGTGTGTCTTTCTGCTTTTGGGACACCTCAAAAGCAGATGATTTTTTCTAGATCCTACCATTTGCCTGCAAAATTCATGACTTCCTTGTTTTTAATTGCTGAGTAGTATTCCATTGTGTCTGTCAACTCTTTCTCTGCCTTTTCTGCCACTAAATTAGACACCACTTTCAAACATGGGTGCTTCCTTCTACAAACTAATTTTACCTTCATTGTTTGGGATTAAAGGTGTGTACCACCATGCCTGGATATAAGCTTTTCTTTACCTGAAACTTGCTCTATACCAGGCTGGCCCTGAACAGATATGCCTGCCTCTGTTTCCTGGATTAAAGGAGGATTTGTATTCCAGCTGGATCACACAGCCCTGGAAGATGTTATCTTTTGCCAGAACAGCCATGTTCTGAATTAACATTCCTCTACAGAGGGGGCTGGAGATGTGGCTCAGAAGTTAAGAGCCCTGACTGTTCTTCCAAAGGTCCTGAGTTCAATCCCCAGGTAAACCACACAGTGCCTCACAACTATTTAGTGAAATCTGGTGCCCTCTTCTGGTGTGTAGGCACACATACAGGCAGAGATCTGTTGAGAGAAAGAAGGAAGAAATGCAGAATAAACATTCCTCTACTGGTGCCCTCTTCTGGTGTGTAGGCACACATGCAGGCAGAGTTCTGTGGAAAGAGAAAGAGATAAGAGACAGAAAGACAGAAGGAAAGATTGCAAGTACTAGAGTCTCAGGAAAGATTGCAAGTACTAGAGTCTCACTGAGTATATCAACCACATTTTCCAGGAGGTGACATTTTTTCACTTATTGGTCTTTTGTTTGCTTTGATTTTCATTTTTGTGTTTTTATGGCAGGAGTCAAGGGTGAGATGAGGGTTTTGTTTCTTGTTTGCTTTGTTAAACAAAAAGAAAATAACAAAGTTGGATGGGAGAGTGTTGGGGAAGATATGGGAGAAATGAGGGGAGGAAAAACATAAACAATATTCCATGAAAATATTTTTTTAGCTAAAAAATGTATTTCATCAAAAAAGAAAATGCTGATCTACTGCCAATTGTTGGTGGTCAAAACTTGATTTTCAGCCAGAAGTGGTGGTGTGGCGAACGACTTTAATCCCAGCACCCGGGAGACAGAGTGAGTTCTAGGACAACCAGAGCTGCACAAAGAAACCCTGTCTCTAAAAAGAAAGAAGGAAAGAAGGAAAAAACAAAAACAAAAAGCAACCCTTGATTCTTATTAGGACCATAAATGCAAGATTCAGGATTAACATGGTCTCCATTGCTGCCAAAAAAAGAAAACTGGTAGAGGGTGAGTACCTAAGCTAAAAGTCTTAATCTAAAGCTGGGCATGGTGGCATACTCCTTTAATCCAATGGCTCCAGAAACAGAGGCAGATGGGTCTCTGGGCCCTTCACTAACCCAGTCTACGAAGCAAGTTCCAGGACCTTGTCTCAAAACAAACAGCAGCAACAACAACAACACACACACACACAAAATGGCTCACTCTGTTTCAGAACCTGGCCTAACTGGATGTGGTATCCTGTGTCTGCACTACCTACAAGCACCTGGGAGGCTGAGGCAGGAGGATCACTTGGCCTCAGGAGTTTCAGACCAACCAACCTAGGCAACATAAACCCTATCTTAAAAATAAAAACAGACAAACAAACAAAATAATGTTCAGCTGCTGCTGACCTAAACCCAGCAGTTGGATAAAGGTAGTTGAGAGTAATGGCTGCTCTTCCAGAGTTCCTGAGTTCAATTCCCAGTACCCCACATGGTGGTTCATAACCATCTATAAGGGGATCTGATGCCCTTATAGATATATAGGCATACATGCAAATAGAACACTAATATATATAAATAAGTAAATCTTTGGGGCCCAAAATATGGCTCAGAGGATAAGACACAGGCTGCTCTTCCAGCGGTCCTGAGTTCAATTCCTAACAACCACGTGGTGGCTCACAACCATCTGTAATGAGGTCTGGTGCCCTCTTCTGGTGTTCAGGCACACATGCAGGAAAGAAGAGGAAAGAGGAAAGAGGAAAGAGGAAAGGAAAGGAAAGGAAAAAGGAAAGGAAAGGAAAGGAAAAAGGAAAGGAAAGGAAAAAGGAAAGGAAGAAAGAAAGAGAAAGAAAGAAACCTGGATGAACTCTTTAGGGACTTCTTTGGTCTCTGGAGCATTAATTTCAGGAAAAAACTGATGTGGTTTTTAGCATGCCAAAAAGAACTACCTCACATTAGGGAGAAGAAAAAAGTATTTCACTGTTTGATGTCTTCAGCTCTAGGTTTGTCTTTGGTAAAGACTGAGACAATGCTTCTTCCAGTGGGCTCCTTGGGGAGCCTTTCTACACTAACCTCATTTTTCATAGCCCATGATGTAGACACAATGACTCCGTGACCCCATGCCAAAATAGCTGTTTTAGTGTTCATAACATGTGAATATATTAGCTTACGTGACAAATGATGGTTGCAGATAGCATTAAGGTTTCAGATTAGCTAAACTTGAGATGAACTGGATGTAATTACAAGGGGCCTTAATGGTAGAAGGAAGCAGAAAACAGGAATACAGTGTGAGATAAGTTATTATTGTCTCACAAGACGGAAAACAGGAATTAGACAGACTGCAGCAGCCTGTAGAATGGTGGTTCTCAACCTTGGGTTAGGACCCCCGCCCTTTCACAGGAGTGCCTAAGACCATGGCAAAACAAATATTTACATTATAATTCGTAACAGCAGCAAAAATAGTAACAATGAAAATAATTTTATGGTTGGGGGTCACCACAACAAGAGGAACTGTATTGAAGGGTTGCAGCATTAGGAAGGTTGAGAACCAATGCTACAGAATATGGAAAACAGATGGAGTTTCTGTTGGAAGGGTGAAAGGCAGTCTTGCCAACTGTTAATAGCTTAATTTTTTTTGGAACACTTATCATATTCACCCCTCTTCTTTCTATTTATTTGTTTGTTTGTTTGAGACAGGGTCTCTCTATGTAGCCCTGGTTATCCTGGACTAGCTTTGTCCTGGCCTTGAACTCACAAGGATCCACCTGCCTCTGCCTCCCGAGTGCTGGGATTCAAGGCATGAATCACCACACCTGGTTCCCCTAAAAGATTTTTAAGCATGCAACACAATTTTGTCTGTAGGTACAATACTGCATGTGGAACTTGAGAATGTATTTCCCACAACTCCAAGTTCACACGCAATGACTAAACCTGTGTTGCTTCATGCCACTAAATTTATAGCAGCTTGTCAGTCTCCTGAGACTTACAATTCATTTCACCCATTTAAACGTTTGCTTTCTTTCTCTCGGGTTTGCCCTATCTCCTCCAACCTCCACTTACACTACTTCCAAGTGGAAAGGATTATGCCATTTTCTTTTCTACTTCCTGTCCCTAGAAGAAACTAGTACTATTGTCTAAATGAAGAAAAGGAGCTTCCGATTGCTTCGTGTATACTTTGTTTCGTTGTCAATTAAGATTTGCATGTAATAGACTAGCAAATTCTCACATTTGTTTTAGAAAATATGTAGATGATATTCCTCATGTTTTGTACTGGAAGAGTTTACAGAACACAGATGCACTGGCGTTTATCTCAAGGTCTGGGGTCACTAATTTCGAAACGACCTAGAAAACAGTTTTACGGTAGACTTCCAAACCGTGCTCTAGCAGGAAGGATCAGATTTCCTGAGGCATCGCGCTGGAATCTTGGTATTTAACAAGTTCTGCGCGCGATTCCTTGTGGGACTAAACAATTTGCCTCTGAATTACCACAGCGTGAAAACGAGTCCGCCTGAGGGAGAGGCTAAGCGCCTACCCTGGCGCGGCCACGCCGTGCCTCCGCACCCTCACAAACCCTCGGTAACGACGAGCGAGCGTCCAAACGAAGACGACCCTGGGAAGCTGGCCTTCCCGGATTGGGGTAACAGTCCCAAGGACGCCGCCACGCACAACGTCGGGCTCCCCTCCAGCCCCACGACGGGAATAAACGCCGGGGACAAAGATCTGACCGCCAACGCCGCAGAGGGAAGGAACCACGGCGGAGAAAAGTTCAGCCGCCAGCGCCACCACGCCCCCTACAGTCCTCGGAGCCCAATTGGCTTCCTGTCTCTCCCGCCGCAACCACACTACTTGCACCGGAAGGTTGATAGGGATGCACCGTGCCCGCCGGAAGTAGTTTTCCGGACGGAAGCTGATCCACGGGAAGTAAGTGAAGTGCTTCCTCTTCCGGTCTCTCTGGCCTCGGCGGCAGAAGCAAGATGGTGAGTGTGGTACCTGGCCTGTGTAAATCTCTTTCCATCCTTCTTCCCTGGCCTGTCATTCCCACTGCCTGTGCGTAGCTGGGAAGGTTCCGAGTAAGGGGAACGGCTGGGCGAGAGAACGGCCCGCGGTGGGCCGCGGGAGCCAGAAGAATGGCTGCTCTGGCGGGCCGAGCCACGGTCCTAGCGCCGCTGTAGGGCCGTCTCTAGGGTTTCGGGGAAAACGAGCGCGTTGCTGCCTCCGCACTAGGTGCTAAGCACAGTTATGGGAACGTCTGACTCCCACTGCCAAGAAACGGTGTTCGGAATTTGGTCATTCTTGGCGCTTAAAAATGAACTGACGACCGGGTAGGATATTAGGTAGTGTGAATCACAGGTAGTGATTTTTTTTTTTTTTTTACATGTGTATGAACAATTTAGCCCTTTTTGTCCCATGTAATTGTTACATTTCATCTACAATCGTTTTCCATGAAAATGGCCAAATTACGTCGAGACGTTATCGGATTTCAAAATGGCTCATTTATGCTTTTAATGTGCAGACGAAGGGAACGTCATCCTTTGGGAAGCGTCGCAATAAGACGCACACGTTGTGCCGCCGCTGTGGCTCTAAGGCCTACCACCTTCAGAAGTCGACTTGTGGCAAATGTGGCTACCCTGCCAAGCGCAAGAGAAAGTGTAAGTCATGCAAACATAATGTCTTTGCTTTGAGCTGAATGTAATGTATATACCGGAATTTTGGTGGTTGGCTAAGTGGTTAAAACATCATAATGACACTTTTAAGAAAATGGGTGGATGCTTGGAAAAACCATTTGGAATCATATTTTATTAGATAACTGGAGTGCCAAGGCTAAGAGGCGAAACACTACCGGGACAGGTCGAATGAGGCACCTAAAAATTGTCTATCGCAGATTCAGGTACAGTTTGTTCCAGTATTGTTGGTCCTTGGGGGTGGGATAAGAGTCCTACTGTTGACTTAGAACTTTCCATCCTTGTTAAATAGTAGACATGATACTGTGACATACTTTATTTTTACAATTTTGCCTGGAATACCCAAATTTGTCAAGACATGTCTATGGATGGGGTCTGGAAGGCAGTTAAAAGTGATTTGGACATAAACCTGCTTTGCTTTCATTGATGTGCTGTTCTAGCACTTAAAAAAAAAAAAAAACTAGTCTGAGACAGTCTTGTGGAGATTGAGGGAAGAATAGCTTCTGGCCTCTAGCTATGGTCTACAGTAAGACCTAACTTTTGAGGTCACAAGGCATTTGTGTTTAAGTTTAGTGGAATTGCAGTTTTGTGAGCTTGCTGTGAGGTGGTTTGCTGGTGGCATATTTTAAGCCTGATTTTTCTGTGCTTCATATCATTCGCTTTACAAACAACTAGTTATAGAGTAAAAACGCGTGTTAATTAGAATTTAGACTTAGTTGAGCAGTTTCAAAGGTTCTATTAAACATTTGTTACTAAAGGGTCATACCTAGGACCTGTCCTTTTGTATCATAAGGAATAGCTTTCAAAAAGCTTTATAAAATAGCTTTATAAAAAAAAGCTTTATAAAATAGCTTTCGTTCTTTTGAAAATTGGTGGGAAGATGAGCCCAAAATCTTTGAGGCTTTGTATTAGAATCATTCATTCTAATGTGTATTGATTGGGATAAAATAGCTTATCAGTGATGTTTTAAAAATAAATGTCTGAACATATGAATGCTATATTGATTTCAGCATTTAACTGAGATAAGCTCATTGAGGTCTTAATCAAATTGAAAGTAATGTTTTGATGTTGCTACATTAACTTTTCTTTAACATGGCACAGGCATGGATTCCGTGAAGGAACGACACCTAAACCCAAGAGGGCAGCTGTTGCAGCATCCAGTTCATCTTGAGGATTTCAATCAGTCATAAAATAAATGCTCTGGTTTCAAAGACTGTGTGGTGTACTGAGGTATTTTAATACCAGTTCAGTGTTCAGTAGTGATTGCTTTAGAATCTTAAATTTCTTTTTAGTAGCACATGAGAACTGAGCCTATTAATAAAAGGTTAGTTTCTGTAACTGACGTTGGGGTAGGGAAAGGTCATCTGAGCTTGCCCTAGGTCCATCATGTTTGCTTGGCCCTTGATTTGGAGGTAGGTTGCTGGGAGCCAAAGCTATTTACTGAAGCCAATGCCAAATAGTGAGCAAAGGTCATTTACTGGAGGCCTAAAGCTATTTAGTGAGTTACCTAGGACCCTAAATCAGGGGTGATAGATTTGTGAGGACATCCGTCTGTTAGTTTTAGATCATCTGTGATATATCTTAAGAAAGCATCTTGCAAGTGTAATATTCAAGCCATGAAAGCATTCTTCATATCTCCTGCAGCAGTGATTTAGCCTTCCCCCTTTTCCTGCCTTCTCCCTATATAAGTTGGGTTAAAATTTTCTAATAAATGAGGCTTTGGTCAGACAAACAGACTTGGCCTCCCTCCTTGAGTCTCTGTGTCCTACTCAACTCCCCACCCCCTTACGCACCCATTGAACTCCGTGGGTCAAGACAGTAGGTGAGGAGACAAGTCTTGCTAGGGAAGAGTACAGAAAGGTTTAAGGCTATTTAGGCTGCATTGCTAACCTGTACAACCTAAATTATTAATCCCTGCCCTGCCTGGAGTATCTTAATGTGGTTGCAATATATAAGGGGCTTGAGAAATCCATAAATTTGAGGTTCCTGAGCCAAATCCTCGTGAATAAGGAACCACTCATAATCCCTGCACTTAGTTTCCTTTTGAGCTCTTGATTCACCCTGAAGTTTCAGCTGTTTTGTCTGTTTTTAACATTTACTTGGACAAAGCCAAGCAAGGTGATGCTTGCCTTTATTCCCAGCACTCGGTGTCTGGTGGATCTGAGTTGGAGACCAGCCAGAGTTGTGCTTTTTTTTTTTTTTTTTTTTTTATGCTATTTACTTGTAAGTTGGTAATCTAAATGTTGATCGGGTTTTCTGCCAATGTATCAGTCTGCTATCCCTCAAGCATGCCAAGTTCAAGAGCATGAAATTGCTTTTAACAATTTATAACTTAAGTTTTTGAGGCTCTGTAGACCTTGAACAGAAATCCACCTACCACTGCCTCCATCTTTATATTTTTTATTTTATATTGGTGGAACTCACGGTCTATAGACTTGAGATTGGTCTGTTGCATCCTTACTATTGCTTTAAAATAGGTTCTAATGGGATAAACCAGACATTGAGACAAGTGGGAGTTCAGTTGGGTGGTTATCTGAACGAGAATGAATCTAGAGATGGAAAAGGTTAGCATAACACCAAGGTGCATGAAAAAGAAAAAGGGGGCTTTTTTTTTTTTTTTAAACCAACTATAAGGTGAGCTCAATCATGGTGGCTTGCGCCTTAATTGTAGCAGTTGGGAGGCAGAAGCAAAGCAGATTACCAAGAATTTGAGGACAGCCAGAAGGAAACAAACTTGGTTTGTTTGTTTTTTTTTTTTTTTTGTGGGGGGCACTGTCGTCTGGGCTGTCTTGGAACTCAATGGGATTGCCCTACCCTAGAAAGGGCTTGGATTTGGAGAGTGGACCACCACACCTGGCTATGCTCAGCAGTTAAAACGAGCAGAGAAGCTGGAGAGGTGGCTCACATTAAGAGCACTTGTTTTGGAGGACCCAGTTTCAGATCTTAGTATCCACGTGGTGTTTCACAACCATCTATAATTCCAGCTGTAGGGGATCTAACACCTGACTTCCTGGGCCAGGCACACGTGTAGTATAGAAATGCAAGCAAAGCAGAATTCGTAGTTGATTACTGTTTTTAATCTGCAAAAATATTTTTTTATAATTTTATGTGCATTGGTGTGTAGCCAGCATCTGTGGGAGTGTCAGATCTTCACAGACAGTTGTGAGCTGCCGTGTGGGTGCTGGGAATTGAACTCAGGTCCATCTGGAAGAGCAGTCAGTGCTCTTTTTTTTTTTTTAATTTTTTTTATTAATTACACTTTATTCATTTTGTATCCCCCCATAAGCCCCTCCCCTCCCCTTTCTGCATGCATGCCACTCCACAGTCCACTGATAGGGGAGGTTCTCCTCTTCTTTCTGATCTTAGTCTATCAGTTCTCATCAAAAGTGGCTGCATTGTCCTCTACTGTGGCCTGATAAGGCTGCTCCCCCCTCAGGGGGAAGTGATCAACAAGCAGGCCAATCAGATTATGTCAGAGGCAGTCCCTCTTCCCATTACTATGTAACCCACTTGGACACTGAACTCCCATGGGCTATACCTGTGCAGGGGTTCCAGGTCATCTCCACGAATAGTCCTTGGTTGGAGTATGGGTCTCTGGGAAGTTCCCTGTGTTCAAATTATCTTGTTCTGTTGCTCTCCTTGTGGAGTTCCCGTCCCCTCCAGCTCTTACTATTTCCCACTTTACATAGAATTCCAGTCAGTGCTCTTAACCACTGAGCCATCTCTGCAGCCCCTGCAAAAATATTTTTATAGTTTGTAAATGAGGGCTATAGCAGGCCTTTTTGGGATGACCACATGAGGTCATGTCGACAAAAAACTTTAAATCTGGAGTGGGAAATCATGCTCTTGGCACATACTAACTGACCAAGGTGGGCTTTCCAGCTTTGCTCAAGTGCCAGCTCTGAAATACCTGCTTACCTGAGATCGTGCACCCTTTCCCATTCCCTGTGCATATATGTGTGGGGGTACACAAAGGTCAGGACAGGTTGAGAATTGGTTCTATCAAGTGGGTTCCAAGGAAGAAACAAAAGGCTTTGTGACAAGTATATTACCATCTTGCCAAACAGTAATTCTCCCTTTTTCTGGCCCTGCCATTATTTTTTGTTTTGAGATAGTTTCTCTGTGTAGCTTTGGCATGGTCTCCCTTTGTAGACTAGGCTGCCTTTGCCTCCCTGACTGCTGGGATTACAAGTGTACACCACTGTGCCCGGCTTCACTGCCTTTGTCTTGATTTGTGCCGATTGTAATGAGGAAAAAGCCCACTGAGTAACAGTGCTCATCTGTGCAGGGTCTAGGAGAAAGGTCTGTTTTTCCCAAGTTAGATCTGTTAACAGGAAGGTGAGAAACTGGCCTGGTAGCAAATGGTATTTCAGGCACAGAAGAGAGAACAGTGGAAAGCAGTTCATAATCAGCCATCTGGGAGTGAGGAAGGCATAATGAGAGCATCAGCCCTCAGAGAAGCACATCGCCAAGGGAGAAGAAACAGGAAGCTTTCAAAGTACTGTGCTATTAGAGATGGCTCTCAAGAGAAAGACCTGGTGAGACAATGGCATGGCATAATGATTTAGAATCACGACTCTTGAGATGGCATACTGCAAGCCACTTGGTATAAGGCAAACTATAGCATGAAGAGTATTTGCTTAAGGTATATGCTTTTCCCCTAGTAATAAAAATGCTATTAGAAGCAATTCTTGGAATGCATTTTAGTTAATTGAAATACTTTGTACATGAACTATTTGGTACCAAATTTGCCTTAGAGAATGAAAACCATACTTATCTAGGTAGGACATAGAAACAAAATGCTAACTACAAAACAGATGAAAGACACCATCCACATATGTAATTCTAGCATTGGGCTAGCACTTATAAACACAACAGCAAAGCTGGGCGTGCCTAGTATTTATGTGTTGGAGCAGGAGATGAGTTCAAAGCCAGTTGGCTTTTCTAGCTCAAAAAAAGACTAAGCCATTCCAAAATAATTATGGTCACAGCAAATTTGCCTTTTCTTGATCACCTCCTTGGCTAAAAAAATGTAAAACACCCTTAATTTCTGAACACAACTTTTGAAGGTACATTATCAAGGTATATTTTGAAGGTGTAGATAAGTATTGTCTTAATAGCAATATAATTTGAGGGCCAGGGAGATGGCACAGCAAGTAAAAAGAGATAAGACATTCTGCTGAGCAGAGTCTGAGACTCAATCCTAACAATACACGAATGTGGCATATACAGAATTCTGCACTTAAACAGGTAAATATTTTAAAAAATGTAATGAGTTACAAATGCAAGTCACATGTTTTAAGTTTTCTTGTAGATGGATTTAAAATGTAAAATTAATTCTCAATATATTAATCTAATATAGCCAGCATGTGTCACCACATAACTGACAAAAATTGAGGCATCTTAGATTGTTTTCTTTCTGCTAAGTGATAAAACTACAATATACTTTACAACATCAGCATATCTCACTTTTGACTAGCTAGATCTCAGTGCTCATGTGTCTGATGGCTACTGTAACAAGTAATGTGAACCTCAACATTTAGTGCTTTGAGTTTAACAAGAACAATGTTGCAGTAGATATGGTGCACACATGCCTGAATTCCAGCACATTTTGAGTCAGAGCTGGAAAGACCTGTTTGGAAACTCAACAGGAAATAATTAAGTTTATAAGTAAAGTTAAAAGTTACTAACCTCCGGACCAGTTCAGCTAAGCCCAAGGATCTTCTTAGTCTGTAGGATGGCAGAGAACTTTTGTCATACCTCATAAGCACCTGTGTTATAAAGTGTTGCTGTGAGAATAAAATGATACAGGAAGAGAATGCTGAAAGTTGTTTTTTGGGTTTTTGTTTTGCTTTGTTTATTCAAGACAGGGTTTCTTTTTGTAGCCTTGGCTATCCTAAAAGTCACTCTATAGACCAGGCTGCCCTTGAACTCAAGAGTTCTCCTTGCCTCTGCCTCCCAAGTGCTGGAGTTAAAGGCACCCATATTTAACTTGATGAATTCATAGTTTCTTCATAAGTATCCTGGAACACATGTAGCCCATGGCCCAGAGGCTGAAGATATCTGCATAACAGACCATAACACAAATTTTTTTTTATCAGAACAATGAGAGTGGCGTAGCTCTCCAGAGGAGTGTAAAGCAAGTCCCTCAAACAAATGTAAGTTCAACAAGTCAGATTCTATCATGCCATCTACATGCCGCACACTGATACGA